TGGCCCAGGACCATCCCAGAGAGTGCCAAAATCTGGACGATCCAGTTCCTTGGACGGAGATCATCATGATGGATATCACAGAGATGAACCTTATGGGGGTCCTCAAAGCAGTGGCACCCCTTCCAGAGGAGGAAGGAGTGGAAGTAACTGGGGGAGAGGAAATAATATGAACTCTGGCCCACCACGGCGAGGAGCATCAAGAGGTGGTGGAAGGGGCCGGTAGAAGAGGTTTTGGCTGGGAAACCCCCAGTCTTAACTGGACAGTATTTAAATAATTCTTGTGGACTCAAGAGAAACAAAAGGATTCCTGCACCACCACAGCACTGGTTGGACTCTTCACTGGGCTATTTTTATACCCAGTAGCTCCCAATAAGGTCTTCTAGATCAATAGACTGCTACTGGCTACATCATGGTAGCTGGTTTTCTGTTTTGTCCTGTCCACCTTTTTTCTCACCCTGCATTGTTTTGTGAAGATAAAAGCTGGAATCTTTTTTTTTAAGTGTTGTGAGACATGGAGCACCTCACCTCCACAAATTTGAGTTCATGTCTAATTGGAAACTTGTTTCTATATGTACAGTTTGTCAGAAAAAAAAGTTAAGTTGTTTTTGTATGAATACAGAATGTGATTTGCGTAAGAATTAACAGAACAATCATTGTGTCATGATTTTTATTTACAACTACAGTTGTGAAATACATGCCTTAACGAAACCCTGAACTTCTATAATATATTTCAATATCCCCAACCTTATTAACTCTGTTGAACTGTTAAAGAAATTCTGTTAGTGGAATAGTAAATACTCCAGATTGAAGTTTGGTTATGATACCGTGTTAGGTTGACATGCCAGATCGATTATCCTTCCATCATCTAAACTTCTAAGAATTGATTATGAGTTCATTTGGAGTCAGAAACTCCTTACCGTAATACAATAATGCTATGTATGGTGATCTATTAAAAGTATCCTCCAAATGGAAGTGGATTGATCACTATATATTAATAGTCTTTCTTTCCTGGTGCCAGCCCTACACCACTGCTGTCCAGGAAAAGGTGGTCACTTTCTGAATTTCATGACCCAGTCACCTAATTCTAGATGCTATGGTGGGTGAGTTCTTTTCTACTCACCACCTGAGGCAGAGGTAAGGTAGAAGCTACTTATATGTGGACCACTCATGACACTACAACCAGAAAAACATTACTAGTACCACTAACAACTGAAAGCATTACTTTGAACTATTATTACTGTATTTTTACCACTTAAAAGAAATTGTCATTTAAATTTTAACCTTGTTTTTCATAAAAGTTATAAAGCATCTCTTTTTCAGAACTGTCTTCTCCACCAACACATATTCTTGTGTTGTAAATTATAGTTTGAGAAGACTTCTTTCACATAGGCCATTGTAGGAAACTTCCTTCCTCTACCCTAAACCAATAAAAATGTTCCATTTCATAAAGCAGAAACAGAAAATATCTATTGAGAATACCTTGAAAATTACAGTACTAAACATTGTGTGTATGTGTGTGTGTGTGTGTGTATAAGGAATTTGTTGTAAATATACTTATCTATAAATGATGTCGCTCTTCTCCTTCCCCACAAAAGCATTCATTATACTAAAATATCCTTTAATTACCAGCACAGGCTTTCCTCTTAAGTGGTAATACCTGGGTAACAGTAAGCAATGACAGGAGTTTCACCATAGTATCATTATAACCAAACAAGTCATGAATAAGAGTTATGGATAATAGCATGTTTCAAAAGAAAAACCATTATGCTGCTTAGAATTGATTTTTCACTTCACATAACAGACCTCTGAGGTTAAAGCAAAATAGTAAGTACTCTATTGGGTACAACTGTTTTGTGAGAATGATTAAGATTTGGACTTCAGTATATTGTGACTTTTTTCTGGATGGCAATTAATCCAAAGCATAAGCATAATCAAAACTTGTTTAGATCTCAAATTGTTGATAAAAAGTTATAAAGGAAACATGTTGAAACTGAAGATTATTTTAGAAAGAAAATTGGATCATCTTCAAAGTTTAGGTCTACTTTACTAAATGTTTGGTTCAAAACATTTTTTTCTCTTGTGTTGGGTATTTACTGCTAGAGCTAGAAAAGAAAGAGGCAAGGAAAGGCATCAAACTGCCTCTCCAGTAGTTGAATCTAGGCAGTTTGGTATGAGACAGCCTGGAGTAGAAAAGTCAATTCAAGACTCTTGGCAAAGTTTTGTCCAGAGAGTAAATCAAGAGGTCAGTTTAGCCGCTTCATTTAAAGGACCCAGGACCAAGTAAAATTACTTATTTAACTTCCACCTGTTGGGAAACTAGCTAATATTTGGCAGTATTAACTTTTTATGTGCTGAAACAAAATTCAAGAAATAATTTATCATTTTATCATTTGGACCTGGAACCCTAGCCATCATCTAGTCTAGAAGCTCTCTCAACCTTTTTGGTATCAAGGACCCTCTGTTGGTCTCATAAAGCCTAGGGACTCCACAGAATCATGTTTTCAACTGCATAAAGTACATTGGATTATAAAGGAAACCAATTCTACTGAAGTAGCTTTCAGCGTATCTTAAAAATAAGTTCATGGATTAAGAAAGCCTGCCTAGTGCAGGGCTCTCATTTTTACAAATAAGGTGACTGAGACCCAGAAAAATTAAGTGATTTGCTCTAGGTCACAAGTTAGACTATCATTATTAAGGAATTCAAATTTATTTCCGAGGGTCTATCTGTGGGAATGGACAGGATAAATAGGAAAAATCAAATTCTCCAAAGTTGAAAATCTAAAATTAATAATACTTTTTAGGAACCCAAGGGATAAGAAGACTTATGTGAAACCAAAGTCATCAACAAAACCTTATTTTATTAAAAACCAAAAGCTAAATGCTCCAACTTATATCAGGCTGTTCTCCAGATTTATTAAAGCATTTCTTATAATTTTAAATTTTATGCCTTGATCAAAAGCAGTCAAAGCTCACTCTATAATGAACTGCATTGTTGACATGTAACAATGATTCTATCCCTGAAGAATCCATTTATTAAATGCACAGAGATAATGTGCATGGAATTCTCAACTGTAATGGTCACTGTACATATTAAATATGATTTTTTAATTTGTATAAAAATTAGGCCTTTAATGAATATCTCAAGTCTCCATTAAATGCTGTTTTATATAGGACAAGCATTGGTCTTAAACCCTCTTAAATTAAGTCAGCATCAACAAAGAAAACACTTGGCTTACAAATATTATATACTGTGAATATAAAATCTTTCTCAACCAGTCACACTATGCTCATTCTAAAGAGACTGTTTATTAGACAAGACAAAAATTCACAAAAAATGCTCATTAAGGATTCTTCACAAGACAATCAGTGGTACCAATTTTTCTGATCTGAAAGTCAAAATTTATTGTAACCCAATACATTAATACAGTATTATGATATTGTCTTTGAGAGGTAGATAGTTATCCCTATTTTAGAGACAGGGAAACTGAGGCAGAAAGTTATAACTTGCCCAAGTCCACATAGAATATCCAAAGAATTTCAATGAGAATATTCGTACCAGAGACATAACCTGAGTTTACCATAAATGGGACATAGGCTATCATACATACCCACTTTGCAATCACTATCTCCTGTATAAGAGTTGGCAAACAGGCATTAAAAGTTACTCAACAGTTCTGGGAATCAAGGAAATTTGACAGCATGCACCCAAGTCCAACTATGCATGTAAATATTGCCCAGCATTTCAGTTCCTGAATTGAAGCTGCAATCAATGTTTCTAGTGCCACTTGGTGTACTGCTTTCTTTTAAGAGTAATGTATGGCATGTCTAGCCTAAAATCACAATGGTGAAGGCCAGTTATTCAAACCGATAAAATCTTATTCAAGATTTGCAAATTTTCAATGTATAACACTTATCTTCCGACTGTTTAGATAAGTTTCTCTATTCCTAATCATTAGGCTCACAATCAAGTTTAAAGTGCAATATAAGCTTGTAAATAAATGATAATTTAGTAAGATTGTTGAAACTTAGGAATAATAACCACGAACAAGGCATTTGTCTACTAATGGAAACACCAACAGTACCTTACAATTTTTTGTCAGTTTACAAAGTTGTATACTACAGCTTAAAGACTAATAATACTATTTAAAAGTCTTACATTAGTTCTAACAGAAAATACATATATGGTTTAACTAATTTGCTCCCTTTGGACACAACATAAATTGTGTAGTAACTTGCTGATTCTCTAAATTCTTCCGTGAGGTTTTCCAGCACCATGTAGCTGTCTGTATTCCCGGCTGATGTCTTTAAACTTGCCAAGATAACAGCTCATTCTGAGGCAAGTTCTAGGAATCACGGCTGTACGCAGGTACATTTCTCCTTTATCACTGTAGCTTCCTGAAGCACAGAGCATTTTCTCTTAATCCTACAAGGCACCATAATGGCAACTTAAGAAAAAACACTCAAGAGAAAATAGAGGTGAATTACATAACTACAAATAAAATTCAGCTCTCAATATTAAAACCGCACAGACGCCTAAACTCACATTGTAAAGTTGCAAAATCAGTTGTTTAAAACTATGAGTGAGGGGAAAAAAAGACTAGGGTTGGTTAAGGTATTGTGCGCGCTCCGGTAACTTTAAATAAAAAGAAAAAAAAGATGAGATTAAAGTACAATAATACTCCCACCCAAAATACCTAAACGAAATAAAAACTAGCTAGTTAAATAAAAGCCCAAACGGAAGTCTTGTTCGTTTTCACCGAACTTATTTTAGTACAATGAAAAAACAACATTCGCAAAAGCTATTCCGCAGGTGAAGTCAAAAGTCACCGGGAGAACATTCGTGGTTAATTCACATCAGAGGTGCCCGAGTCGAGGGGCGCTGCTGCGCGCTCCATTCCTGGTATCGGGCGCCGCCGGGCTCGGACAGGCGTCCCTGGGCTTCCAGGCTCCTCGATGCTCGGGGACCCGGCCCCCGCGGCCACCCCCCCTCACCGCTCACGAGGCCCGCGGTCCAGCGCCGGGTCACGTCCGCGGGCCCGGGCGTCCCCGCCCCGCCTCAGTCTCGGGGTTCGCGCTCAGCAGGCCGGGCGGCTCACACTGGCAGGGTCCGTGCCAGGCCGCCGCAGAGGCCCCCGAGCGCGTAGCGCAGGGCCGGGCCACCGCCCCAGGGCAGCAGGCCGAAGAGCGCGGCCAGCAGCGCGGCCACCTGCGAGGCGGCGCCGAGCGCCGTGAGCGCCGTGCTGCGCAGCCCCAGCGCCGCGTACAGCGTGCCGCCCAGCGCCGCCAGGTAGAGCAGCCCGGTCCGCGACGGCCGCTCCTCGCAGCGCAGCAGCCGCAGGCAGGCGGGGCCCCCCCGCGCAGCAGCGCAGAGGCCGCCAGCGCGAACACGGAGCCCAGCGACCAGAGCAGGGCGAACTTGCGGGCGCGAAGCAGCAGCATCGGCGCGTAGAGCGCGGCCAGCCCGAAGCAGAGCGCCGCCAACACCAGGCACACCCCGGTCGCCGACAGGCGCTGCCAGCGCGACAGGCTCGGCAGGCACGGCGGCCCTGGGCCCGGCTCCGGATCGTCAGGCGGCAGCGCCGGCCCCCGCAGCCAGGCCCAGCCCGGGCCGCCCCGGCCCGGGAAGGGATTCGCTCGGCCCAGCCAGACTCCCACCGAGGACGTCCTCCCCGCCCCAGCCGCCTCCTTTTCTTCCGCGGGCAGCAGCGGGACTGTATCCGCCGAGCTGGCGCCTTTTGACTGGGCCAAGTATTCCTGCAGCTGCCGGTTGAGGTCCGCCATGTTAGAGGGGGCGGGAGTCGCCTGGAGTGCATCCGGGTCACTCACCCAGTGAGTTTCGTCAAGGGGCGGGCACGTGCAAGGCAGGAAGGGCGGGGCCGGCAGCTGGGAGGCCGGAGAATGCTGGCATCCCTCCCCCTCCACCCCCCCTCCACAAAACCGATGTCTTTGGTCTAACCACGCCCTGCTCTGCAAGGACGCCTGGGATGCGCACAAACTTTACACAAAATTGAGATGAGACCTGAGTGTTTGATTAGGGGTTGAGGCACCTACACAAGTCTTTAAAATGAACATTAATATGAAAAAGGTACAGTACTTTTGAAGGGCTTCCTTTTAGGAGTGCTGTCCTATAGTTTGATTAGGGTCTAGTGACACCCTCAAGATAAAGAGCTTTAGAAGGACAGACCAAAAGCAATGGAAAGTACCAACAATTCCAGAGAAGTATTCCATATTTAACTGGAAGTTTTGCAGAAACTCAGTTTAGACCAATATCTAACCACATACATGTAACAGAACCAAAATAGCAAAGTAAGCTCAAAGTATGTATGTGCTCTGATTATTAAAAGTTTTGAGATTTGCTTTCTCTCCCTCCTTCCACCCACTACTTTGAGAAAGCAAGAGAAGCAAAACCCGGTTACAAACATGTACGGTCAAGCAAAACAAATTTTCTTTATTTGCTGTGTCTAAATATCTATCTATCTATATATCTCTATATAGAGAGATATATAGTCTGAGTGCCACCTTTCAGGGGACGAGTAACAGGCTTCTTGAGTCCCGTGGAATTGTGGTTGTTCTTTGAGTCATATTTTTAAAAGTAGAAAAGAACCAAATATGGTACTTTTTTCACAGCTGTAGTTGGGTGAATTCTCAACCAAACAAGTGGTAGAAATGTGAAAGAGAAAATAGACAGTTTTCACGTACGTGAAATTGAAAAGCTTTTGCCTGAATAAAATCATTACAACTAGAATGAGAAGTGCTCATTAGGAAAAAAATTTTGCATCATATGTCTGATAACTGGCTTAATATCCTAGAGCTATAGAGAACTAAAGCAAATATATATATCACCAAATGCAATTCTCTAATAGATAATCAAAGATTCTGAATGGTCTCAAAAGAAGAATTGCATACCATTAACAGTTATAGTAAGGGAGAAGCAAATTAAACCGTCTAGCCTTATTTCACACCCAAGAAATTGGCGAAGATGACAAAACCAATTGGAATGGTCAGTGCTGGAGGAGTGGTAAACATTAAAAACGCTAATAATAAACAGTTTCTGGAGCTGTAAATTGGTCCAACCACTCTGTGAGTGTGGGAAGAAAATGACTGAAATGTCCATACCCTTTTGACCTAGATATCCCACAGCTAAACATAATACCCCAAGGGAGGTCAGTGATTAAAAGGTCCCACACACACCCAGATATTTATAGCAGAACCTTTTCTTTTTGGTGGAAAAGAATTGGAAACAAAGTAGATGCCTATCTATTGGAAAATAGCTAAATAAGTTCTGTTACATGAATGGAATACTACCCTGTTGTAAGGAATGATGACTGAAGAGTACAGAGAGGCATAGAGAAGCTCATATGAATTCATACGAAATAAACAACCAGGAAAGCAATGCACATGATGAGTACAATAATATAAATAGAAAGCAACAACAAGAGAAGGGAAAAGGAGTGTTTTGAAATTATAATGACCAATCTAAGTCTTCAAAAAACAGATATAAGAATGAACATCCCTCCTTTATTTGAAGAGGCAGGGAACTATGTGTGTGGAACACTGCAAATATTGGACAACTTAGTTATTTGTTGATTTTTTTAAACTTAATTTTTTTTGAAAAATAAGATAGCTCTTTGGGGGTAGGGAGTATGGAGAGATATATTGGAAAATGAAAGTGATTTTAAAATGTAAGCAATCCATTTAAAAAATGTAAAAAAAAAAAAGAGGCCCTAATTGTTAGGGGAAAATAGCCCATATTTATCTAATTTTATCTTGAGGTTCACCAGCCATCCTGCTTAATTCACTTCTAGCTCTCTCTCTGATATTCTTCAGCTCCCAATCAGTTGCCTTTCCTGGTAATCTTCCTTCCCTCCCTCCCATCCTCCCGGAGCCCCACCCCTATGTCTCTCTTCTCCTATTAGAATGTAAGCTGCTAGAGAGCAAGGACTTTTTTTTTTTTGTAAACCTCTCACACATCCTGGCACATAGCAAGCACTTAATACATGCTCTATCATCTGTCCATTATAGAATCTCCAAGTTAGTTACTAGGAAGCCTTACTATCCAACCGATAACTTGAACAAAAAAATCACCTCTCCTTGTATTTTTACAAGTTATTATCCAGCCTTTATTTGAATGCTTCCAGGGAGGGGTGAATTTACTACCTCAAGAGGCAGTCTATTCCACTTTTTAGTAGCTCTGGTTATTAGGAAGCTTTTCCTTACATGGAGCCCAAGTTAACTGTCTTCAGCTTTCACCTGGTATTGATTAGTTTTGCCCTTTGAGCAATTGTAAACCCTTCCCCGTATGAGGAGTGTTATACTTCAAATACTTAGAAACAGCTATGTCACCCAAGTTTTTGTTTTCTAGAGGTTGTGTCCTGAATTCCTTCAATCAATCCAATATTGAGGCCCTTAATTTTTTGACTCAGCATAGTATAATGTAATGGTAAGAGTGCTGGATTTTCAGTCAGGACCTGGGTTGAAATCCCATTTCTGCCATTTAATTCCTGCATGACCTTGGACAAATTGCTTCACCTCTCTAAGCCTTAGTTCCCTTATCTCTGAAATGATTGGACAAGATTGGCATTGGACTAGATGACCTCGTAAGTTCCCTTCTGTCTTGTTCCCTGAGTACAATATTCCATCTTGGTTTTCCTTGTAATGTCTTACAACTTATTCATGGCTTTGCTAAAATGTGGTAACTGAGAATTTAGCACAATATACTGTGTTGTCTTCTGAATATGGTAGAGTACTGTAATCTTCCTATCATATATTTTACTTCTCTACTGAAAATCATACTTTAGTGCCTCATTTTGGTATAGAGTATCAAAGAGTCTGCCAGGAGTTTGAGCACATACTCGGACAGCTCAATTTGGAAAGACTCTTAGTTGGGCAGTAATGCCAAGTGTGAAAAAAGCTCTTCACAAAGGGTTGGTTAACAAGTAAAAATGTTTCTCCACACCCTCCTTGCTAAGGTGTGGGGAAGCTACAGTGTGTATCCATTTAGGGAGTAGCCACATGGACACAGTTTTGGATCTTTTGAAGAACTGCTGTATACTTCAAGTCACTTCAGTTTAACACATTAATTACCTACTATGTGTGAGGTTCTGTGGGGGCTGGAAATACAAAGACAAAAATTAAATAGTACCCACCCTTAAGGAGCGTCTGTTCTACTGTGAGTGGAAGTGGAGGTTACAGCATTTGGAGATCAGGAAAGGCCATATGTAGTAGCCACTGAGCTACTGAGAAGTGAGAAATTCTAAGAAGTAGAAATGAGGAGGGAGTTAATTCCAGGCATAGGGAACCATCTGTAAAAAGTTGCAGAGGTGGAAGATGGGATATTGTATTCAGGGAACAGCAGCTAGTGCACCAGTGTGACTAGAATGTGTAGTATGTGAAGGGGAGCAGTAAATCTGGAAAGATAGGTGGGAGCCATATTGTGGATGGCTTTCAATGCCAGCCTGAGGAGTTAGTATTTTGTCCTGGAGGCAGTAGGGAGCTGCAGGAGCTTTTGGAGAAAGGAGACTGACATGTCAGAGCTGTGCTTTAGGAGTATCAATTTGGCAGCAGTGTGGAGGATGGGTTTGGGGGGGGGCACTTCAGTCAGGTACAACTCTTTGGAGGCTATTGAAATTTTTCCAGCAAGAGGTGATAAGAGCCTGAAATAGGGCAGTGGTGTTGAGAGTGAAAAGAAGGGCATGATTGCAAGAGATATTACGGAGGTAGAATTGAAAAGGTTTGATGGGAGAGAGGTGGAGAAGGAAGGCTCAGGATGGTTCTGAGGTTCAAAACCTGGTTGACTGAAAAGGTATTGGTACCCTTAGCAGAAATAGGAAAATTTGGCACAGTGGTGAATTTTGGGGGAAATATAATCAATGCCATTTTAGATATATTGAATTTGGGATGGTAATAGCTAAACACAGAGGAGAAATGCTTATCTTCATCAGGTAGTTGCACAGTCATTTCTTACTCTGTGACCTGGTGAACCACAGCATGCTAGTGCTGGCCATGGGATTTTCTTGACAAAGATGCTGAAGTGGTCTGCCATTTTCTTCTCCAGTGGATTAAGGCAAACAGAAGTTAAGTGACTTTCCCAAGGTCACACAGCTACTAAGTACTGAGGCTGGATTTGAACTCAGGTCTTCCTGATCCAGGCCCAGCACTGTATCTACTGAGCCACCTAGTATGATACATACCTTGTGAGTTCCAGTGTTGTATTTTTAATTGCTAGGTATATATCTTCACCTGGATGTTCTACCTGCATGTTAAACTCAACCTGTACAAAAACTGAATTAATCAACTTCCCTTCAAAACTGCCTTTGTAATTACCTCCCCCAGTTCTGTTAGTAACACCACATCTTCCCAGTTACCACAGGCTTGAAACCTAAGACTTTTGACTCTTCCCTCTTTTTCATTTCATATTTCTTACCATTTTTCATGTGCTATCTGTTCTGTCTCTGCAGTCTCTCTCCCATCTGTCCCTTCTTCTGTACTTCATTGAAAGCATTCTAATTCACACACCCATTTCTTCTCTCATTGAGTGTAATAGTCTCCTAATTGATTCAAGTCTATCCCCTTCCCATCACTGAATTATAGGCACTCTTATGGAATGGCTCAGGGGTTCTCTGTGCTTGGCCTTGTGCTGGTGAACATTTTGATCAGGGACTGGATAAAGGCACAGAGAGCATACTCATCAGATTTGCAGATAACACAAAGTGAGGAGGGATGGTTAATACTTTGGATTATAGAATCAGGATCTAAAAACATCTTGTCAGGATAGAACATTGGGCCAAATGTAACAACAGGAAATTTAAATGAGATAAGTGCAAAGTTTTTCACTTGTACTAAAAAAATAATAGTTTCCCACTTCCAAGATGGGGAAGGAAGGTATAGCTTGACAGCAGTTTATCTAAAACGGAGCTAAATGTTTTAGGGGACTGAAAGATCAATGTAAATAGTTGTGTGATATGGCAGTCCACAAAGTGTCACAGGAAGCATCTTGTCTAGGGTGAGGAAAGTGGTAATCTGCTTAGCCCTTTGCCTTGGTCCAGTCACACCAGGAGTATTATTTTCAGTGCAGAGCACCACATTTTGGGAAGACATGGATAAGCTGTAAAGCATCAGGAAGAGGATGACCAGCGTGGTGAAGGGCCTTGAAATCATGCCTCGTGAGAGTCAGTTGAAAGAACTAGGGATGTTTATCATGGAGAGAAGACAGGATAGGGTGGGGGAGGAGGGAGCAGGTGACAATAGCCATCTGTAAGTATTTAAGTGACCGCTACATGGAAAAGGAATCAAACTTGTTCTACTTGGCTGTGGAGAACAGGAGTAGAAACAATGGGTGGAAATTGCAGAGAAACAGATTGAGGTTTGATATAAAGGAAAACTTCCTAACAACTGGAGCGATCCGAGAGGAAGCTACCTCAGGAAGGAGTG